AAGGGCTTGGCTTGGCTCCTCCCCGGAGGTTAAAAATTATAGTCATTCTAACTGCACTTTGGAAACCAGGCAAGGGGAGAAGATAAATGAAGAAAAACTAGACAGAGAGAAAAAGAAAAAGAGAGAGAGAGCGAACGATTGCTAGAGAGAGAGAGAGAATATTAAGTTATTAACTGAGACTGGCCAGAGGGGAGGACCCCCCTACCACCCCCATGCACTTTGAGAACTACCCCTCCTCCCCCCAAATCAGAGAACTGCCCCCCACACAAGGTCCCTAAAGGTAGGGCTGCCGATCAGAGCTGTGAGTTAACACAACAGGGTCCTGGCCACCCACCCCTTGCCTTGCCCCTCCCTGTGCCCCTTTGGCACCCCTATCCCAGTACTTCCTCTGCTCTCTGCCACTCGTGCCCGCTGAGTTCCATCTACCTCTCACGCTGGATGCCAGCTGGCCCCTCACCAGCCTGCCCTGCTGCCCACACAGCTCCCCTTTCAAGTGCCCAGCCCCAGGGGCCTCTCCCTGTCCGTCCATCCCCCCCCCCCACTCCTTCTGCACCTTGGCACCCACACAGGAAAAACCGTGGCTCAAGCTCCCACCCTCCTCACATCCTGCTGTACTAGCTCCCATCCAGATGCTCTGCACTAGGGCGAGGAGGGTGTGTGCGCTCGGGGCTTCTCCCAGGGCCTCCGCCCCCTGAGGACTCTGTTTCCCACGTGTCTTCTGGGCTCTCCCTAACCTCTGCCCTCCTCCGTCCCTACTCCCGCTTCTACGCACGAACCCAGACTCCGGGTGGGCAGGCACCTAGGGATGGGATGCTTAGATTACTAGCACTTCGTTGGGGCCCCTGGGGAGGGGGCGGTTGGTGCTCCTCCTTTTTTCTTTGAAGCTCTTTAGGCCAGCCCGCCCCTCCGCCCCGCCCGGGACCCATTTCCCCTCCTCTTTTCTCTAATTCAGGGACTTTGGCTTGAGCCACCTCCCACCTTCGTGGTGAGGAGTGCTCTGTTGGTCTGCATTTGGGTCAGTTACCCTCCTCCTCCCCTTGGCTCTCGCCCACTCCGCAGGGGAGAGGGACGAGGAGGTAGCTCTCCCGTGGGGGGCGGGGGGGGGCAAGGGGAGGGTGGGGAGGGGCAGAGCAGACCAGAGGGCCCTGGGCTCAGGGCTGCATGTCGGCAGGGATGGATGGGTGGACATAGATGCCCCCGGAAGCCATGGGGAATGGGGCAGGGGGGAGGGGTGCCAGGGCTTCCTGCGCTTTGCACTACTGGGGCAAAAATGTCTTAAGCTGTGGGGAACCTGCCACCCCACCCTGACCCTCAGCCTGCCACAGCCCCCTACACACACACACACACACACACACACACACACACACACGCACACACATGCACACACACACACAAAGGCAATGCTATGCTGCCCATCAGGGCATGTCCTTCCCCTGCTGTTCAGGTTTTGGGCAGAGGGGAGGGCCTAGAAGAGCATCCGCTGTCACCTGTGCTGTCACCTGTGCATGTGCCTGCCCCGCCCCCTTGGGCACGTGGGCTGCACATGCTGTCGTTGTCTCTCCCTCTCTCTCTCTCTCCTGGGGCTCTGGTTCCTGTATTCCTCCTGTCCTATAGGCAAGCCCTCTTGTACCCTCTTCCTACCCCTGGGGCCCAGTGGAATTCCTGACCTGTCTGCTGTCTCCCCCGTCCCTCCAGCCCCACCTCTCCCCCTCATTCCCCATTCTCAGCCATGGACATGGTGGAGAAAAGGCCTTGAAGAGGCGTGGCCTCTTACAGGCACTTGGGAATCCCCAGACCCCGCCCCAATCATGAGAGCTGTGATCCCCCACTCCTCCCCTGACCCCTCCCCCTCACTCTGTGATGTGGGGTGAATGTGTGCATTTCTCTGTGTGAATGTGTGAGCGAGTACATGTGGTGGGGGAGGAGCTGGGGGGGGGGGGACTCAGGAGTGCCACAAACCTGCTCTAGAGAGGCAGCTGTCCCAGCCCCTGCTTTGGAAGTGGGGGACAGGGCCCTCTCCTGGGGGCCATTGGTGCTAATGAGGGGGATGGCCTTGACGTGGGTGCTTAGCATTGCCTCCCCCAGTATTGGCCCAGGGCACTAGGGCAGGCAGGGTGGGGCAGCAGGTGCAGTATTGGTGGGAGGAGGGGCTGCTGAGAATAGAATGAGGGGTCCAGGCCAGGACAAGGGGGTGCCAGAGCCATGACCACTACCCCACCCCCACCATCGCCTCTCCATCTCAGTATTCCCCGTTCTATCACTCATAACACACATACCTCATCCAGCCTCCTCCCTGCTCAGACTTGGGGAGGGTGGGGGTGGAGGAGCCCCTATGCCTTCTCCTGGTGGCGGGTCTACAGGGCTGGGAGAGGGCAGGGCGTGTGACAGACACCGTCCATAGGGACAGTAATTCCTGCCCTGGGAACTCCTGGGTGGGGGGAGGGGGACACTTCCCTGGAGGCGCTACTGAATGTATGAGAAGCTGGTGCTGGGTGGGGGGG